CAATTCAGATTGAAATAGTAATACTAAAAAAATTATGTATTAGTATTTGTTTATTTGATATTAAAAAATAGAAACACCCTGTAGCGGCCATGCTAAGAAGATACATTCACAAACACAGCTCTTGTCAAGTTCTTTTAACGTTCTTTAAGGATGGAACCAGAAACTTTTTAGTTGTTTATTTTTCTTTTTTTTCATGTATTAGAGCTGGACATGTTTTACCACCAGTTACTGATGAGAGTGGGTTTTTTTGTTTGTTTGTTTTTTTTTACATTTGTATCATTATCTATTCGCCTCAGTTTAAACCTAATACTTATATTTAAAAGTGTACTCGTCAGCCGCCATTAGCTTCTCTGTTGATGCTGCCATGGGCTCGAATCCTCGCCGGCACACAATGAACCTCGGGATATGTTGGCTGGTGAAGGTGCACCCGGATTCTTTGTTGCAAGGAAAAGGACACATTTCTCTGCCGCATATGAAGGAGCCTTTGAAATGGGACAGCCGAGTCGCGCTGCTGTGATGCAATCAGCCTTCAAATGCAGCCCCCGAAAGACACAGCCCCTGAATTGAGACACACTGATTGATTCCACAGTGCGTGTTAAGTTAATTTTGTGCCAAAAGATTCAAATAAAATAAAATCCACAAGCAATATTTTAAGTATCGCAATGTCCAAAATATGTTGCAAATACAAATGATAATAGTAATAATAACAATAATAATTATAATAATAACAGCAATAATAATAGTGTTTTTTATTCATTTTATGTAGCACTTTTCATGCCGGTGGCAGCTCAAAGTACTTTACACACAGGTGATAGTTATGCAAGTATATGTATTACATTAAAAGTATTCATTTAGAATCATAAGAAAATGACATCAAAATAAAGATATATACCACAAGACGTAGTTTTAATTAAATGCTGAGTTAGAGATACGTCTTTAGATGCTTCTTAAAAGTGTGAACTGAGCTTGACTGCCTAATAGAAGATGGAATTGAGTTACACAGTTTAGCCTCTCCATGTTTTCTGTATTTTACTGTAGGTATTTGCAGAAGGCCAGTATCTGTGATGTAAGTGGGTGCTAGGTCATTTAGAGCCTTAACATGACGGTAACCTTAGCTGCTGAATGAAGCTGTGCCTCCTTTTTGGGTTTTCAGCTGCAAGAGTTGTCTAACCTAGCAGTGTTTGCTAAATGGCTAGCTAAAACAGCTGCAAAGCTTGCTAAATTAGTGTTTCTTAATTCTGCATGTGACGACCTTAAGTCGAAATAAGTAAGTAAATGTTTCATTTTATTAGAAACTTTTAGCAAAATAAAATGAGGCTGTTTTGTTTAGTCATAAATAGAAATTGTTTATTGCATATATAAGAACTGTGGTGACGGCAAAGGGAGATGAAATTAAGAAAGCAAGCCTCAAAATTAGCCGCAAAAAATCAGAAGTGTGAGTACAAGCTAGGGCTGGGCAATATGGCCAAAAATGCTATCACAATTTCATATCGTTCAATATCGACGCGTATTGCGGTAATTGTCAAATTGTTTCTTTCAAGCTTGAAGGCTGATTTTTGCTCCCGTGTGGTGGTTTCAAACTATCCTTTATGGTCAGAACGTGTCAAACACTTGCCAAACAGGAACATTTCACAAATCTGTTGTGATGGTGGGAGAAAATGTAACTGTTTTTAGCATGGCTGCAATTTTTGTGATCTGTTTTCTTTCTTAAATAATGATTATTTTTAGCTGTCTGGTGACAAGAGCTAGGCTATCTGGTTACAAGTTCTAAACTGTTAAGTTTCTCAACAACATCAGCTTAGTACAAACAGCAAACATTAGCTGGCTCGGTACGTCAATGATGGATCACACCACCTTACTGCCATCACTCCTACCAAGGAGTGCTATCCATGTCAGAGCTTATCACAGTATTCAAACACCAGCTAGCAGACATCTGGATTTTTCTATTCTATCTGTAGTTTTGAGGGGTGGAAGAACCGCAGTATATCTGACGCTCGCTGTGTAAAAGCATGAACTGCAGTGTGAATCTTTCGTACCAGACAAACAGTCCTCGTTTTAGGTGCGTATAAACTGAAATCAGTGCTTTGTGTTTTTTTTGATCTACAGTAACATCAATTCGCTGTGACCGAGCGCTGCTTCAAGTTAGCCAGTTGCTAAACACAACTAGCCTGGGAAGCTAGCGTTCTCACACTCTCCAGTGCTGCCATCAGTGCAGTGCTCTTTCTTTCACTTTCGTTGCTTGGGAATACTAAATAATACTAAAATGACTGAGCACTGTAACAGCGCTGTAGTTGTGAGCAGCAGACGTGCTTTAACGCTGCTAAAGCTTGTTAGGATGTTTGACGTTAGTTCACTGTAGGACAGTATAGTTATGCCACTTATCTTGTCACTCACACTTGGTAACAGGAGAACAGATCGCCAGTCGCTCCACGTTAGCGTTTTGTCGCCCAGCCCTAGTACAAGCATGATCAAATTTGATCTTCAGCCTCTCACTTTTTGATTTACACTTCACTTTTTTCTTTACTGGTTTTTGATACTATATTGAAATTGTTGCATTCTTAGCACTTCCTAATGACAGTTTTGAACTTGTTGCAACAAATAATCTTTCTAGTTGTGATCTGTGCTTTGACATATATATACAGTCATGTGAAAAACTATGAAATGTTTTTTGATATGTGGACATACCAGTATTGATGTACAGTGTGTGTATATATACAGAAACATTATGTAATGGAACAAAAAACAATGGAAATTTGACTTTGCAGTTATTTATTAACATAAAATTACTTTGTCTGTTTGGGACAAAAAAGTACTTTTCAGTTAAATCTGCTAGGGTATTCCTGGCCTAAACAAGTTTGCAGTGAATTTTAAGTCTTCTCTTGTAGATGATCATCTGGAGAATGGAATGATTGATTCTTGATATTTTGGCTATTTTCTTAAACCCCCTCCCAGATTCATAAGTATATACATCTTCCTTTCTGAAGGCCTCAGATAACACCTTTGATCTATGCATCACAGTACCACACACCCCAATAACAAAGAATGCACCAGACCAAATATCTGAAGTTTCAATAAGACAAGTTCTGCCAAGATATTCACTGACAGTGTTTTAGTCTTTGCTACCTGATTAGGAGCACTTAATTTCAATTTGACATGTTTTGAAGTCTGGATATACACTATATTGCCAAAAGTATTCGCTCATGTGCCTCGCACGCATATGAACTTGAGTGACATCCCATTCTTAATCCATAGGGTTTAATATGATGTCAGCCCACCCTTTGCAGCTATAACAGCTTCAACTCTTCTGGGAACGCTTTCCACAAGGTTTAGGAGTGTGTTTATGGGAATTTTTGACCATTTTTCCAGAAGCGCATTTGTGAGGTCAGACACTGATGTTGGACAAGAAGGCCTGGCTCACAGTGTCTGCTTTAATTCATCCCAAAGGTGTTCTAGCGGGTTGAGGTCAGGACTCTGTGCAGGCCAGACAAGTTCTTCCACACCAAACTAGCTCATCCGTGTCTTTATGGACCTTGCTTTGTGCACTGGTGCATAGTCATGTTGGAACAGGAAGGGGCCGTCCCCAAACTGTTCCCGCAAAGTTGGGAGCATGAAATTGTCCAAAATCTCTTGGTCTGCTGAAGCATTAAGAGTTCCTTTCACTGGAACTAAGGGGCCGAGCCCAACTCCTGAAAAACAACCCCACACCATAATCCCCCCTCCACCAAACTTTACACCTGGCACAATGCAGTCAGACAAGTACCGTTCTCCTGGCAACCCAGACTCGTCCATCGGATTGCCAAACGGAGAAGCGTGATTCATCACTCCAGAGAACACGTCTCCACTGCTCTAGAGTCCAGTGGCGGTGTGCTTTACACCACTGCATTCGACACTTTGCATTGCGCTTGGTGATGTAAGGCTTGGGTGCAGCTGCTCGGCCATGGAAACCCATTCCATGAAGCTCTCTACGCATTGTTCTTGAGCTAATCTGAAGGTCACGTGAAGTTTGGAGGTCTGTAGCAATTGAGACTGCAGAAAATTGGGGACCTCTGCACACTATGCGCCTGAGCATCCGCTGACCCCGCTCTGTGATTTTACGTGCTGTCGTTCCCAGTCGCTTCTACTTTGTTATAATACCACTGACAGTTGACTGGTTTATATTTAGTAGCAAGGAAATTTCATGACTGGACAGGTGGCATCCTATCACGGTACCATGCTGGAATTCACTGAGCTCCTGAGAGCGACCCATTCTTTCAGAAATGTTTGTAGAAGCAGTCTGCATGCCTACATGCTTGGTTTTTATTCACCTGTGGCCATGGAAGTGATTGAAACACCTGAATTCAATGATTTGGATGGGTGAGTGAATACTTTGGGCAATTGAGTGAGTTTGTTTTTAGTATTCGCCGATGAAATGTGTACTTAAAATGAAATATTTGTTAGTGTAGTGGGTGTGCCTTAACAGTTAAACGATCAGAATCTAGCCGATTTTAAATTGTATACAGAACCATTTTTGGGCTCAAGATCGTCTGCAGTAATCAAGAGCTAGTATTCAAAGTTTTAGGGCTGAGAGCTGTTCATAAAATCTGTCTGATGCCCGTGTTGAAAGCACATTGGCTTAATACGGTGTAAAATCCGAATCTACAGACTTGCTGCTTTCCTCTCAGAGCGCTTTGGTGCTTAGAGCAGCACTTACAGTGTGGCTTTGAGTACAAATAAATGAGCATGGTATCGGGTACCTGTATCGTTGCGTCCCTAATGTAAAAGATAAAATATTAAAGTGTCAATTACATTATGTATCTTTTTATCTATCAACATTGTTTAAGTGAAGACTTGATATCTATCTTCAAATATGTTGGTAAAAGTCTGAAACTTTTCTTGGAGTGTACTGCTTCACATGTAGATCTTTAAGGCAATGGTAATTGCTTGTGTATTGCAATTGATTTCATGCTTCAGTAAATGCGTTGATGATGAATCTTCATACTTTGTATCTTTGTTGTTTGTAGGTGGTATGGCCAAGAAAAGGACTATAACGTTCTAGTGATGGATCTCCTGGGTCCCAGTCTGGAGGATCTCTTTAACTTTTGCTCTCGCAGATTCACAATGAAAACAGTTCTTATGCTTGCAGATCAGGTAAGGCTGCCTTTAGAAAACAAGTGATGTGTAATGTACCCTCTCCTTAGAGATCTTGAAGATGTGTACGAGTGCTCAGGTTTGTTTATTGTACGGTTTTTCAAATATTGTTACCAAAGAGCCATTTCAAGCTTATTCTGAGGGTATGCACATACATAGGGTGACCATCTTGGACCAAAGTTTTATATTGTTGGGTAAATATTGTTAAATGCAGTGAGGGTTTTTATCCTTATATGAATCTTTCAATATTGTGTCTCTGCTCAGGCCAAATCAGATATTTGGATTTTCATAGACAATACGGTTCAAAGATGTCACAGTTTTCTAAGTTTTAAATGATAATGTAATGTTGACGGAACGCAAAAGGCGTAAGTTTGCAGAGTGCAGAAGTGCAGCGCCCGGACAGTCTGTGGCATGCACGCTGTATTAAAAGCTAGTGGAGGTGTCGCAACCCAAATTTTAATAAGAGTCATTTTGTCTTTTTGACAAAAATTAAACCACCTTGGGAGCCACAACATTTTGAGTCCATATTACCGTCTTGGCTGTAAATATGTCTCAGTACGTGCTAATGTCCTAGTGTATGCCAAAAATATAATACAAACAAAAATGCAGACTGACTTTGCTCTGCTTTAAGCTTTAACTCAGCTGTAGCCACTTTTCTTGCATCACCAGCTGGAAACTTTTCCACAGTAGTAGAATAGTTTCTTGTAAAATGTCTGTGTTCTACTTTTTGCGAGGCTCAAGTCAGTTTCTTGTTCTCCAGCTTCTCGTTCGAATTTTCCCATTCCACATTAAATGGTGTCTGAGGTGCCAGAATGTAGCTGCTGCACCATTTAAGGTGTAACGGGAAAATTCAAACAAGAAGCTGGAGAACGAGGAACTGACTTTAGTATGTTTGTTTGTTTTTTTTTTAAAAGTGTTTGACAGTTTCTTGTTGTCAATTAAATGTATCAGGAAATCAGCTGACTCATTATAAATGCAAATAAGTCTATTCATCTCCAAATTATCGATGTTCGTCTTAAATGTTTCTCTTCGCGTTTTCGTTGGCTACTAGCTAGGTGAACTAGCAGTTACAGGCTACATTAATCCCAGCGTTTAAGATCATTTACTGTTAAAACTGTGTTTGAATGATCAGCGGAGCTTTATTTAACTGCGAAGGAGGATTTATTTTAATCTAATTCTGGAGCCGCAACTTGGCATCCGTACTTAGTCTTTGAGAACCAGGGTTTTCGCGCTATGTTGGACACTTTGGAGTTGAGATACAGCATCCCACCTCAAAGATATTTTGCTTATTTGTGCTCCAAACAAGAGCAGTGAATGAGAGCCTTCCAGTTGACTTGGCAAATTGCTTCCATTTGGTTTATTAATAAAGGATATTATAAGTAAATTCATTATGGATCATTACAAAAGCTGTGCTTTAAAAGTCCCAAGTTTAAAAGTTAAAAAAAATCCTGTATAGAAAATAAGATGCATCAAGTTTTGTTTTTTTTTTTGTTTTTTTTTGTCTGGCTTTTTAAGTGACCACAGCATGTTTTAAATGTAATTTATTATTGTTATTTTAACAAATACGCTACAATTTGAAGTTGCTTTAACATGCTCAAAGCTCTCTGCTTTGAGAGGGCCTTTTCTTATTTTTTTTAATTACACCAAAAATACAGGACCTTATATGTTGCAGTGTTATATATTGTAGAAAGATTGTTCAACTGTCAACGCAACCCCCCCCACACACTTTTTTTTTTCTTTTTTTTCCCCAGATGATCAGCAGAATTGAGTATGTGCACACAAAAAATTTCATCCACAGAGATATCAAGCCAGACAACTTTTTAATGGGTATTGGCCGTCACTGTAATAAGGTAAGCCTTTACTTCTCTTAAGAGATGCATTTGAACTGCTGGGGTTTAAGTATTTGTCCTCATGTATGTTGGCATATTTAATTTTTACTCATAGAACAAGTGTCGTGTGTTGATTTTGTATAAACTTTTGGAATGTTAATTCTTAGTTAGAAAATACTTAAGGGAATATGGGATTTGTCTGGTATTTGTAGGACTACGGAACGTACGCTAAATGCTCAATTTCTGTTAAAGATGCTTGAGCGTCAGGAAGTAAAGGATCAGCTGTTTAGTAGAGTATGTTGTCTTGATTAAACTGGTTCTTTAGAAACGTTTTAAGCTCTTAAGTTCTGTATATAAACTGTACCTGAAGTTGCCTGACTTTTCTCTTTTTTTTTCTTTTTCTTTTTTTCTTAAATTTATTGTTTGGAACTAATTGTTTTGAGCCCTTGCAGACAGGCAACATTTGGCAAAGTTAAAGCATGATGTGTATTAAACCAAAACCTGACAGTATAAGGTCAGATGGTCATTAAACAGTTTCAGACTACTAAAAACAAAATGGTAGTATTTATTTAATTTTGAATATTAATTTGGTGAAGCCTGTACTACAATTTTTAACAGTGCTTTCTGGAGTAAATGTGTTTATCATTGTGTGTCTGTGAATGCCAGCCTCAAGCTGTTTTGTTTATCTAGAAGTGTTGCTCCCTTTTATTTTATTTTTTTTTCCCTTGCTAGATCTTATTGTACAACAATGCACCAAACTGCTTTTAGATTGGAATAGGCATGTGCCTGGTCCGTTAACCAAGTAACAGTTCTTTTATGCCCCTGTGATAGAAAAACTGATTATTTGTTGGTTCAGAAATGTTTTTCATTCACTTATTTATTTTGCACAACGTGTAGTTTTAATTCCACGTAATACATAATTTACCTTTTACAGTAATTTACTTATTGTAGTGTTGCTATACATGGGAGAGTCAGAAAATGTGGGCAGATTTTAATGAAAACCAAAAAGGACTGCAAAAATATGAATACCCATCCAGCCTTCATCATCGTCACCCAATCACTTTTACAACTTGAACCATCCTCCAACTTGGCTCAAAGCCAGCGCCCTTACTTTACAGGACAGATAAAGGGTTGTTTTAAAGATTTTGACCAACAAAGTCTAACATCTACACTGAAGATAATTGAAGGACACATGCTGTAACAAATTGTCTGGCTAAGGATACGCTGCATTTTAGTACTCCCAAAATTTCTGTGACATGAATTTCTGTTCTCCATATGCATATTAACACTCTAAAATGTGTCCCTAGTATGATGCCTATAGTTTACCATGGTTATTTTGTGTACTGTTGTTACCAGATGTAGTACATACGAGATGCTGTTGAATTCCATTTTGGCAGGTTTAGGTTTAGTCTTCAACAGGAAGTTGGAAGATGAGGGAATGTCCAGTTAAGTTTTGCAAATTCTACTCTACTCTGAATCTTTTCCTTGACTTACTTTGATTTCAGCCCGGGGTATAACATTTTATCGTTAGCAGATTTAGTCCAGATGAGTCTGCTTAAAGTAAAATTCCAAAGCAGGACCTTTCCTGCTTACTGATCCTGCTAATCCTGAAACTGCATGTGTGTCTGCCCTTGTCATTAGAAAGGAAGATGCAAATAAAATAAAGGGAAACAGTAATCAGACACTTTTTTTTTTTTTTAAACATGCTTACAGTGCATAGATCCACTTCAAAGACATTTGTCTTTACTTTATACTTAGATAAATGAACACGTAGGTTTTTATAAGCATAAAGATGTGTTATATATTAAAATATGTTTTGTTACACAGCCGTTGTGGGCTGTTACAGCTTAAAAACGTCTTCATGATAAACCACGTGTTGCAGCACTGTGGGTTTCAATTTTGTCCCATTTCTTTTGGCAAACCATATTCGGTTGCCCAGGGTTACGAGGGTCTTTCTGATGGTTGCTGTTTTAAAATCCTCTAGAAATTTTCAGGTATTGTTAAGTCAGATTGGCTAGGCCATGCAAGCCCCTTGAGTTATTTTGCTGTATGTTTGGGGATGTCTTGTTTAAGCGTCTGGGTTCAATTTCTTGGCTGATGAGAACAACTTTTCTGCAGTACTCTTGGTACAACACCCTATTCTTGTTTCCTTTGGTTGCGCCTAATGCCCCAGTACTGTGTGCAGAGAAACGGCACCATATCATGTTGCTCCCACCTCTGTACTTTCCTGTGGATGTATTGTGCTAGGGATAATATGCAGACCCTTCTTTCTCCAGACCTGACCAGCTGAAAGAGTTCATGTGGGTTTTTTTTTCTTCTGACCAGAGCGTGTTGTTCCAAAATAGTTGTGGTTTGTCTAAATGCTTGTGGACACATTTTAGACGTGCATCTCTGTGCTTCTGTTTTTTGGAGATGACTGCGGTATAGCTCATTGCTTACAATTACCTGTGTAGTAGTTGTTCCCGCTGCTTCCTGGTCATCCTGCAACCTTTTGACCGTTGGCTTCTGTTACCTTCCTTATTAGTTTGAGAGCACCTTGTGAAATCGGGGGATGATTAGTTTTGGTTCTGTGAACTTTCCATTTGCCTGTTATTGAGTAATTAGTCATTTGAGTAATGATATCCCTGAAATTTCTTCTTCGCCTTATTGCGTGAAAATGTCTTTTTGTGACACCTTAATTGGGTACCATTTGTGCATAAACTCTCACAATATCATTTCCTGAAAAACAGCGATATCAGTGTCTAAAGAATGTCCCCTGAATGGCTTCCGTGCTTCAAATGTCCATGTTTTCAGTCAGAAGTAGCATCAAACCCAGGCTGAATCCCAAACGGCTCCCCAGGTAAATATGTGCTGTGTAAATTTTAAAAATCTGCTGTCAAGTAGTGCACTGCTTGTCGAGTATGAATGTGGATGAATCCCAAATGATCATTTTTAGTGATATTTTTGCATTGTTGGGGTGCAGGAGTCAGTATTTAATTTCCTACGTAGTGCACTATGTAGGGAGCATGGAGCCGTTTGAAATTCAGCCCCAGCATGAGAAAAGTAGTGTCGTCAGACTGGCAGAAGATGACGCGCGGTGAAAATTTGGTGACCAAAACGTACTTATAAACTGAAAGTATCTGCATTAAACAGTACTATATTACGTATGTTCACTGTTACGCAAAAAAAGTTTTAACAATCACTAAGTGTTTTCAGTATACCGTGATTGGTGACTGAACATTCTTCTCCTCATTCAGCCGTCAATTGTTGCTTAGTCACGAGATCATGCTCTAAAGGAACTACGTTTCTTGGTGAAATACTTGTTGGTGTAATTATTATTCTTATTATTATTATTATTATTATTAATAATAATAATAATAATAATAATAATAACTTATGTTTTACATAATTTATGTTAATGTATTTTATGTTTACGCCGTTTTATAAAAGCATTAAGCTACTCAAGGCCGTGCATTACTGTGATTTTTTTCATGGGGAAGGGAGTTTTAAAGAACACCCCATGATAAAATTGCACTTACGCATTGACCTGAGTGGCAAATTGCTTTTCTTATTTTTATATATATATATATATATATATATATATATATATATATATATATATATATATATAAAAAATTGTTACACTAAGTGACAAGAGGGTATGGGGATGAGGGGACACACAAAAAAAGGGGATGAGGGGACACACACAAAAGTCTGAATTCTTGATTCTTGTTTCCCCTTACTATATTTCTCTCCCACTCACATCCCCTCTCTTGTCACTTGGTGTAACAAATATACATAATCCCATTTCCAGCAAACAGTGTCTCTCACATTCTCTTAAGGTTTCTTTTTTCTTTTTTTCTTATAGTTTGGAAAATCAATCACAGCCTGACACTGTTGAAAATTTATTGCTTTTTTTGTTGCTTATCTCTGGTCAAGTTAATTGATACCTGCAAAGTTGTAGCCAGATTTGTAGTCCCATTTTTAAAGTCATAGCGTAAAAAACCTCACTGTGGGTAAATTTAAATACAGATGATTTAATACTATTTCCCTGCATGCTTCTTCACCCCCACCCCCCCCAATGCCATTCCCCCTTTCCACATTTGGATTCGAATTCGGTAAATGCCAATGTATTCTACCCTCTTCCTTACTGAAGGTGTTGAGTTGTTTCATAGAAACTGTGTTTACAGTTATCAGTAATCTGTTGTATGGAGTTTTAATTAAATAAATGGGTGTTTTGGGTTTTTTGTTTTTCCCTTTTTGGGCATTTGTTTTGAAATACCCACACTTAATTGTGAAAACAAATGCCAGCTGTTGCAAATGCTATTAGTTTGCCTATTTTAATGTTAGGGTTAAGAGTCTGATCTCTGTCTCCTTTTTTAGACAGACTGGATCTCACCCAGTCATTCAGCCCTTTCTCCTGATCTAGCATATGCCACAGGTAGTGTTAAAAACTGAAGAAAAAAAGCTTATTCAGGTCAATTACACAATCAGATAAACCTTTCTATAGGAGATGAAAATTTGGGTTAAGGTGCCATTTTGGTACATATAAATAATGCTTTCTTAAACCGTGAAACACCTGGACTGTGCATTTTTACAGAACAGTCTTGCTGTTTGCCTTATCACATTGTGACTGTTCTTTGCCCAGGTTTAGTGTAAGAGGTCCCACCAGTAGTTCAGCTCTTTAAGTTTTATCTAGGATGCTTCATGGTGTATGAAAGACACCATTAGTCTTCCTTTTCTCCCCATTTTCTTCTCCTTCTTCTCTTTCCGTTCTTTTTCTGAGCCTTGGTGTTGCCTGTCTGCGCCGGCCATGTGGGTTGTCAGCAATACTGTTTGATGCACTGCACCCTCTATTGTCTGTTTAGTGTTTAGAATCTCCAGTGGGGAAGAGGAAAAGAAGCTTGGCTGTTAGTTCTTCTCAGGACCCATCTTTCTCAGGATTAAACCAGGTCTGAAACCTCAACCGCCTAATAATAATGCCCTTTTTGTTGTTTTTTTTGGTTTGTTTGGGATATTTTATTTTTTATTTATTTATTTTATTTATTTTTGATCAACACAACTCCCATTCTTCATGTCTAGGTTTTTGTTTAATGAGAGGTTATAAACATATGTTGGCATTAAACCAGACACACATGTTAAACAGAGATTAATTTATCCAGATTGCAGTCATCTGTGTTTTGTGATCTGGAAGAAATGAACACAAAGCAGTGTTGGTGTTAGGTCTTTTGAGGAAGGTGAATTTTTGATATGTCTAACCTGGATTGATTTTGTTGAACTCAGATGTGTAGAATTTGCAAGAACATGATCAAAGTTCTTACTAGTAAAACAGCTTACTCACATGTGACTTGGGATCAAAGACAGTGATGTATAATTGCTTTGCTATGCTGAATATATGTAGCTACTTGTTGAGTAATGTTGATTGGTGCATTTATTGATTCTTCTCTGGCTGATCAAGCTACTCACAGCTGAAGAATGATGGAATGCTGCTGACTGATGTGATAGACAGAACTGTAGAACCTGTTTTAAAAGTGTGCTGGAGCTTAGATTGCTTGCTGGTCCCCCAACAAAACACCACCCCACCCCCACCTGTTTTAAACATGTTAAATCTTCATCTAAAACCTGTTCTTCTTCTGTGGTCCTTTTCACACTGCCGCAAAACCTGACATTCCCAAAATTTAAAATATTTTTTTTCTTATGTCTGCTTGCTTGTGTTTTGAGTGCAATTTACCTTGGGAGGCATGATAACTTTCTACTGGACGTTTGCTAATGGAAAAGTAAACTGCCCATGTCTTTGTTGTAGCTAGCTACCTGACTACAGGGTTTTTCTTGGCTCGGAGTGATGCTGAGGTGGTACCATCCTGATCATGCGCACACGCACATGTACTGGGCCTTCAACTGACTTTTTACAAGGGATGTACAACCCCATTTCCAAAGAAGTTGGAAAGCTGTGCAAAATAAGTAAAAATAAAATGCAATGATGTGCGAATCATTTAAACTCTGTGTTTAATTGAAAATAGTACAGACAATATATCAAATGTTGAAACTGAGAAATTTTTGTTTTTTGAAAAATTGGTAAAGTTGTGTAATGCTTTAATAAAACACCTGGTAGTTAATTAGCAGCAGCTCAGTAACATGATTGGGTATAAAAAGAGCATCCTGGAGAGGTTGTCTTTCAGAAGAGATGATGTGGAGGGGTTCACCACTCTGTGAAAGACTGCGCAGGCAAGTAGTGCAACAATTCAAGAATAATGTTTCTCAATATAAAATAGCAAAGAAATTCTACGGTAGATAATGACGTTTAAAAGATTCGGACAATCTGGAGAAATCTCTGTACACAAGGGCACAAGGGACAAGGCCAAAAAAACCCCATCAGAATTTGCTGACCAAGATCTTTGGGCTCTCATAAAAAACAGACATGATTCTGTAGTGGAAACCGCTGCATGTTCTCAGGAACACTTCTGAAAACCACTGTCTGTGAAAACAGTTTGTCGCTGCATCCACAAATGCTAGTTAAAACTCTAAAACGCAAAGAAGAAACTGTACATGAACAGGGTCCAGAAACGCTGCTACCTTCTCTGGGCCCGAGCTCATTTAAAATGGACTGAGGGGAAGTGAAAAACTGTCCTGTGGTCCGACAAATCAACATTTGAAATTTTTATTTTGGAAATCATGGATACTGTGTTATCCAGGCAAAAGACCGCTCTGCTTGTTGTCAGTGCACAGTTCAAAAGTCAGTATTCATGATGGTATAGGGGTGCATTAGTGCACATGGCATGGGTGACATGCAAATCTGTGAAGGCACCAGTAATACTGAATGATGTATATATGTTTTGGCAACATATGCTGCCATCCAAACAACGTTGTTTTCAGGGAAGGCCTTGCTTATTTCAGCAAGACTGTGACAAAACCACATTCTGCATGTATTATAACAGCGTTGCTCTGTATTAAGAGTAGCTTAAAAAAAAACTGGCCTGCCTGCTGTCCAGACCTGTCACCCATTGAAAACTTTTGGCACATTATGAAATGAAAAATATGACACAGGAGTTCCCAAACTGTTTAGCAGCTGAAATACCATATCAAGCAAGAACGGAAAAACATTTCACTTTCAAAACTACAGCAGTTGGTCTCCTCGGTTCCCAAATGCTTACACAGAAGAGGTGATGAAACACGGTGGTAAACATGCCCCCATCACAACTTTTTTGAAACGTGTTGTTTCCAAATGGGCATATTTTTCAAAAACCAATAAAATTTGTTTCCACATTTGATGTTGTCTTTGTAGTATTTTCCTTTAAAATATGGTTTACATTCTATTTTTATGTTACAATCTGCACAGCATCCCAACTCTGTTGGAAATGGGGTTGTATTTTAGGAGTTCTAATAATTCATTTTTAAGACAACTTTTATATTTTTTATAGCTTTTACAGTAGAGCATTTGGAACAGTGCTATCCAAGGTTGTAACTGGGATAAAAAATTTTGTGAGTTCTATTTTGCAGAAAAGTGATCTGCATCAAAGTGACTAAACTGCCAAATGTGTTACACCAATTTCTCCTTTAGAATTTTTTTACCAAATCATTGCTCCTTTTTTTTTTACTTGTCCAAAATTATGTACTTTTTACTTTCACTTCTTTTCCCATCCCTCCACTTTTCCACAAACTATTACTGTTCCATAAACTCCTTACTCTTGTTTAATTTTATTTATTAAACTGTTTAAACATTTTTCTTTTCAGATGCTGAAGTGTGTGTGTGTGTGTGTGTGTGTGTGTGTGTGTACACTAAATCAGTTGATTGTATTTCATTTACACCTGACCGTCTTTCTGTGCCTGTCTCTTGTGCTCTCATCATTCTCTGCTCGCACAAATTAGGAATACGTTAAAATACCTTGTAAAAGACTGTCTCTGCCAAACCCAAGCAACTAGGAAGGAAAATATTCCATTAGCCAGACAAAATGCAGCCAAATGTATCTGATTTCTAAATTTTTACACAATACTGTGCTAGCAGTATGCTAAACAGCTCACTGTAGTATGAGTAGGTAAAACATAACAATTTTACAATCATAATCTGTTAATTACCTTAATAAACCCTTACATTTTATTGTAGCTGTGTTGTTTATTAGCCTGAATTGTGTGCTGCATACCTGTAACATTACATGTCAGGAAGTCAAAGTTGCTCTGTGTAGTGTTCAGCATACTGAGTCTCATAAAACCCTTCATAAACTCATGAGTATCCCCTGAGTACCTTTGACCTCATGCTAGTTACAAACATGATGGGTGCTGATAACATACCATTTTCAGACAATTTCAGATAGCCGCATTTGCTAAGCGGTAATTGGAGGGCTGAGAAAATAAAGCAGGACGAGGCTTGGAGCATAAAGATTTGATTGGCTATAACACAGTGATAGTGCTTACAGAAAACAAATCAAATGTCATTATCTTAAAAATGTGGCTTAAAAAATATTTTCACTCTATTTGATTGGGTAGACCTGTAAGGGCTGGGCCCCTGGTGGCTACCACATCAAATGGTGCTGTTTCCACATCGAAAATCATGAATGGGGATTAAAAAAAATTCTTCTGAAACTGCCAAAGTCCAGTCCTCAGTGTCCTCACAGCTAGTTATGGCCATGCTTTTACTGCTGCTTAGTTGTTAGTGTCCCAGATAAGTTCAATACAGTTCCTTCTTTTCCATAGCGACATCAAAACAGCCACCAGTGGTGAGCAGAGAGGTCCGGCATATCGGAACGTGGCAAGAAAAAGTTCAAGTGGATGTGTCCTCAGTCTTTTTGTTAAAGTTGAACAGAACAGGACTACAAAGTATTTAACAAGGCTAGACTGTTGACTTGATACGGATATGATTAAAGGAAAGAAGCTACAAATTGCTACAAACATTTTTTTTCAGTAATTTCTTTGAAACCAAATCCTCTGAACCCCTAAGCTGCTTTGCATTTTGTCATGTTCCAGCTCCCAACACAACTATGGTATGTAGATGGGCTGTAGAATGTGTGTTGGGAGGTGCAGTTGTTGCAACTCCGAAAAATGTTCTGCACAAATTTGTGTATCTTCTTCCAAATGCTCATTCTATGCATGGCTCTATGGTGCTAAACAGTTAATGGGCGTTTAGGTGAATGTTGTAGATGAAAAATGTTTTTGCTGTGTGATTGAGACTCTGGGGTAAGGATCCTGTTGTCAAAAGGGAAGGTGCAGTGCTTCCTGTATTATAAGCCAACTGTAAGCCAAACCCCCCCCCCTTCGTTTTTGTTTTGTTTTTTTTTTTTCCCCCCCGGGTGGGCTTGGGTTAATAACGCAACGAGTTGACATTCTAAATTATTCTTTTTGCATTTGAAACCTTTTCAGGGAAGTGCTCTGCATTCAGCAAGGTATAACCATGCATAATGATAGCAAGGCATATGACTGAACTTTATGGAGAATGGACATTCTGTAAATTGTGCCATCTAATGCAGTTAAATACATGTAATCAAATTGAATTGTGCGTTTAGAGTATTGTTACACCCCTAAACCTTTGGTGCTATGCAGTCATACTGGAATGTGTAAAAAGCAGTTTCTGTTTTATCACATTCAAGAATTAGGCTCTCAAAGGTCTTGAAATGTAACAGAGACACCTATAACGCATGTTATGGGAACATTCTCTAAATACTTCACCAAAGATTCTTGATTGTGAATTAGCAAAGTCATTGTTGTTGGAAGCATGTGTTGCATGCTCTGGCCCAGGGTCTCACTTATAAAACATTCATACGATCAGGTTTAATCATGAATTCCATGGATTTGATTTTGCATCAAGACACATTATTTTTAAACCCTAAAACTGACAGAAAAATGTTTTGTGACTTATGCTACTGAAGTGAGTTAATGAAGTGATTCATTAGAGAATCTAATCTTTATTATGAAAATGTTAATGAAAAACAGGCAAATGACAACAACAAATGCAGCAGTTAGTTTAAAAGAAAGGAACAAACGCAGCATGTTCCATTCTGGATGCAGCTGCCTATCTAGACAGTACCTTTTAAAGGTTCCTCTCTCGTTGGGCAGCATTCTAACTGAAAAACAGACCTTAGTAGGTATCAGATTTGTGCTTCAGAACCATTATATATCATAACTTTTACTATGCTGTACACATGCTGTTTACTTACTCGCAGTCACTCATTAGCCTACCTTTACCTACCTAACTGTACAGGTGGATTACCTCCATGAATAAGAATGGATCCTGATTTTCCAGCAACTGTTTTTCTTGCATTATCACTGTTATGGGAGTAATTGTATAAAGTATTTGCCATTATATGCCTGACTTGACACTTCAGACTTGACTACCTTCAGAAAGGGACAACCTTTGTCTCGGGAGCAGCAAATGCCGCCTTAAAATCCTGCCTACTTAGACGTCTGCCTCCTGCACCATTGGTTTATACTGAATTTTAACTTTTCCAATCACCAGTCAAGTAAACAAGCAAGTAAATAAATAATTATAGGAAAATATAATGTGAAAGTACATTTCATTAGCTGGGAAATTTCCAACATTTCAGTGTTATCCAACTGGTCTGTGGCTGGTTACAGTTATTTACTTAAGATATTACATCTACTGTGTATGTGGGCAGGAATCTGGGAATAGAAATGCTGTGGTTGTACCTATTCTTTTAGAGGATGTTGTCTGTGGTACATTACACACAGTGCATTTTCTAATCCTAGTTCATAATAAATTATCTGAATTCTATTCTCTCCCCCGCCCCATGATGAATGGCTTGTGACCCGCTGTCAGCTGCCAGCCATCAATTTTGACCTGTGCCTATAGCTTCAGGGGTTGTAACAGACTGAGGGGCTAGTTGTAACATTTGCTAGAAATGTTTAGAAAATTTAGTAATTATTTGTGAGAGAGATTGTGAGACAAAGACTGTTGGTAGGAAGGTTTCGGGGATGTTGGTGTCAGGTGTATGGACATTTTGTAGAAACTTCTCAAAAAAAATGTTTACATGCTCACATTTAGGTTCATTCTATATACATTTTTGCTCCTGGACCTCAAGTATGTGCTGTTAGAACAAGTTGAAAAGGTACACCCAATAAATGAAAAAAAATGTTAAACGGATGGGAATCAAGTATTTTGGCGGGGAAATGCTGCTGAAGAAATAGAAAGCTGTCTTGATAATTGCATGTGCCATGCTTAAGCTCTGTTTTGCAGGGTGTTTAAATCCTTAAGGTTTGTATGAGACACAAGTTTTGTTGTTCATGAGCTTTTCTTGGCAGCCTTCAAAATTGATACTTCTGTGCAAAAATGTGTTTTGATGTTTGGGAAGTCTACTTCTGATGACTAACATTCTTAGTTGTACCTATTAGTCTTGATTCAGTATGCAATCTCTAGGACAGTATATCCTTAGATATTCTTGGAATGTCCTTGGAAGGGCTCTCATAAGGATCTGCTGATTCCTTGTCTGTCACATGGTGTATTGCTTTAATTTGAGATCAAATTTTACAGGGCATATTTAGGGAAAAAAATGGGTATGACCTAGCTATTTCCATATGTCTCCTTTTACCAAATGTTAAACTTGCTATAATGTCAGTGTTGTGTTTCTTTTTCATTTTAGTTGTTCCTCATTGACTTTGGCTTGGCCAAAAAGTACCGAGACAACAGGACACGACAGCACATTCCTTACAGAGAAGACAAAAACCTCACAGGCACTGCTCGCTATGCCAGCATCAATGCACACCTGGGCATTGAGCAGAGGTGCATGAACATACCATATTTTATTTTCAAGCTTTGTATTTAGATGACATGAATTTATGTACAGCATTTTACCATGTCTCTTAAAGTTTAAGTATTGAGAAAGAAGAGCACCATTTTAACGTTCACGTATGCCATCTTGCATTAATTTATCAGAGGTCCTTTAAAGCAGAGGTTTTCATTCTAGTCTTCAGGAACCCCAATCCAGACTCTATTTATTCCAATGGAGAGAAAAAAGTTATATATGTCATAATAATGATTGAACAAAAACTGTACAACTGATTAAAAAGCTGCATACAAGCACACTATTCCTGATCAGACTGAACATTCTAGAATTGCAGTGTCTATCTCTCAAACTGCAGAACAGTTTAGCGGACAATAATCCGGCAGACAAATAAGAACCAAGAAGAATAATATAAATCAGACAACTTATATAATATTTGTGCTTGAGCAGGGGAATAACTGAAGTGTGCTAGACAGTAATTCACCAGCACTGATATTGAATACCTCTGCTTTAGGGGTACATTCTGAATATATGATGAAGTGAGAGGAGGATCTTTCAGCTACTGAAATCTTGGTCACAATTGTGTAGCGGTATTTACTATTTTCAAATTGCACTACACTAACTAGCTGTAAAGATACTTTAAAACTTTGATGTCCTGTTGCTCCTTTTCCTAACAACTGATTTTTTTTTTAGTGGTTCACACCAAGCTGTCAAGCTGTAATATTGTCTGCGGTGTTGAACAATACTTTGTTTCCAACAGTCGCCGGGATGACATGGAATCGCTAGGCTACGTGCTGATGTACTTCAACAGAACCAGCCTGCCCTGGCAAGGATTGAAGGTAAGGTTTGGGAGATGCTGAGGGTGTATGTGCATGCAAAGTATAAAAGTTGACAATGCAGTATTTTTACGAAGTTACTCAAGTACATTGCTTTACCTTATACAATACAATAAATACATATTTTTTTTTTTTACAGTTCTTTATTTCAATTCATTAACTGTCCTCATCCACCTTAATGAACCTGCTTTATTTGTAACACACAAGATAAAAACTATGCGTCATTTTGTACAAAATGCACTCAGAAAAAAAGATCACAGATCTGTTAAGCTGGTTTATATGCTTTTTATAATATGCATTTTCGTCTGATTTATGAGCTTCTAGTCTGAAATTTAGCAGTCAACATTCACCTAACACGGTTGTGACTGTGGTAAGAACAGCAATACAAGACAAAAGGAGCAGGCAAAAATAAGCATTTATGGTATTTATTTTTAAAAACATTTTATTTGAGTTTCTACTTTGTCCAGTAAGTTAAAGTATTTTTCATCATTCAGGGAGAACGTCAGTCTGTAGCACTGGTTCCGTGGTATTTTTACCTAAATATGCTCTGCAAGTGAGCTGCTTTGTCGTTCGGTGCAATTTTCTCCCCATAGCCGCTGCAGTTTCTCAGCCCCTCAAACAGTGCCTCTCCGCTTCTGTAACGTTAGTTCCTGAAGACAGGAAAAAATATATAGAATATTGAAAAAGTATAGAATCTAATCTATATGTACACACAAAGTGCTACTAAACATTGAACAGCCAATATTTTAAACTAGACTCTCTCATTTTGAAGAGCCAGCACGTATACACTGCTAACTGCTAGCCCCCCCAGCTAAGCTAACAAACATTAGCTTCACCTAAGAAGTTACAAATGCAGCCTGCCAAGTCACCTTAGACAAGCGAACTGCCAAAATTTTTACCGCAGGGACAATTTCTAGAGATCTACAAACACATGTTAAATACTTCACACAAATACAGCAATCAATCAAAACAGTAATGAAACTCTCGGCCGGTGAACACTATTATGGGATTGCCTATGCTGAGAAGGATACGTGCGATGGTGCTTTTAGATTTGGTCAAAATAAGGCACCTTAGAAGGCAGCTGCCTTATGCTGCTTTCCTAATGGGACAGCCTTTATCTCGGGAGCACGCAAATGCTGCCTACTTAGACAGCTGCCTCCTGATTGAAATGCACCATTAGTGTGACTTCACTGTTGATCATGTGCTCATATGGGACCTTTCATTATGGCTCAGTACACTCTCAAAGTCCCATGTCCTTAACATTTTGAGTTGCCAGTTTATTAGTTACACCTACCTACCTAGACTACCTAGACTCACTTATCATTGTAGCATGTGCATATAGGATTTCGTTTCAGTGTGTAGAAATGCAGCCACTGACACTAACCCAGAATGTAAGCCAAAAATAGCCAGCCAACAGTGGACCTGGGGTCAGAAGCTGACTAATTGAAGGGTTAGAGCAGTGATTCCCAACCTAGTCCTCAGGTTGGTCCGTGTTTTTCCTCCAACCTAACTCGCAACACACAGGCATGAGGAAAAAATGCGGACTGTCTAGGAGGGCCCTGAAGACCAGGTTGGGGGAAACTTGGCTAGAGGATGACTAACAGAAATTGTGCATAGAAAAAGTTTAGGTATACTGCTTGTGGCTGATGCCATGTGCAAAGCAGAAGATGGTTTGGGCGCAGGTATTGTATACAGGCAAAGTGCACTTAGGCCCAATCCCATTTCACCCCTTGCCCCTACCACTTAGCCCTTAGCCCTCTGTTTTGCGCCTTCACGTCTAGGGTTAGGGTGTCCCAATTTTTGTTGAGATAGAGGGATAGGGCGAAGTGTTAGTGCTACATGGCCCTCCAAACAGAGGTTTTTCAGAGGCACACTCCAAACGGAGTGTTATGAGAAAAAAAAGAAAAAACAGGCAAGATGGCTGCGCGAGTGACCAAAGAAACCCACAAATGTAAGTATTTTCTCTGGTAAAAAATTCCGATAACTATTGTATCTTAGTTTAATGTATTTCAATGCATTATGGTAGTTTTCTTCATAACAAGCATAAAAAATCGCTAATGTCTCAGTAGCTAACTTTCCCGTTCCACCTTAAATAGTCCAGCAGTGTTGACGCCTTAAGCGACAGTGTAACTGCTGCTCCATTTAAGATGGAACGGGAAAATTTGAACAAGAAGCTGGTGAATAGCTGACTTCAGCTTCGTATTACCAATGAATTAGCTGTGCGGTGACCGATAATAAATGTCTTATACCCCCTCTTTGAAAGCATATGATGCCCTAAATGTAACTAAAGCCCAGCATCGAGATCCCTTCTCTGCTATCACTGAAGACGGGCCAGATCGCCTACAGAGAACCGCTAGTAGCCTGTTAATGAAGCAATGTTTTTTTTTTTTGTTTTGTTTTTTTTAATTATTATTTGAGGGTTGTCCCATTTCGTAGGGCAAGTTTTTAACCACTACACCTTGTAACTCAGTTCCAAGGGGTTTTTTGAGGGTGACACTCAAAAACAAGGGGTAGGGGTAAAAAGAAGAAATGGGATTGGGCCTTAATGTGCTTGTCAATAGGTAGGTATACTTAATAAACAGAATTGTGTAAAAAAAAAATGTATGAATTAGTTTAATCATTAATGGCAGTTTTTACTATTATAAATGGTAACTGCTGAAGAAGGCAATATTTAAGTACTGAAATTACTATCTGTGTATCACAGAAAGAAAACATACAAACTTTCACTGAAACACCTATTTTTACAGGACTGTAAAATGTGACATTCACTTGTTTTTGCGAACATGTACACTTTGCTTCTCCGAAACATGAGTACCTTATCACCTTGGAAAGTTGTTGACTCTTTTGAGCTAGAGTGAGCATAGCACCTCCAGAGCTATGTAAATAAGAAACTGCAATGCACAGTTTTCATTCTTCACCTACATGTTATACAGGCTGCCACAAAGAAACAGAAGTACGAGAAGATTAGTGAGAAGAAAATGTCAACTCCTGTCGAAGTGTTGTGTAAGGTATGTGTGTGGTCTTTAGATTTTTTTTTTTTGTTTGTTTTTAATGTCCGGAAACACTAGCCTCTGTTTATTTACTCATTGATCATATGGCGATTACACATCACATCAGTGCTTACTGTCAATAATGGAAAGTATCAAACTCCATTCAGTGACATGATCACCCTTCAAGTGCCAAGAACTGGCAATATCAGCTTTTTAGCGAGCTGAAATTGATTAGGGGACACTCTAAAGCTCCACTTACAGGTGTTACTTGCCATTATTATCATTTGATCTTTGTTTGATTTCAGTATGTTTGTATTCATATAGCATAGATGTGGATGATATGTCAAATATAAACTTGCAAAACTTGAACAAATTTTCATGATACACAGTATTACAGTATTTTTTCAGACATCTGATCACTTGAAACTGAGAACAGGAGTGCTAGATTTTAAAAATACTGTCATAAACTGTAGATGATCAGTGTTCAAGTACTAGTGATGTACAAAAAAAAGTATATTATATCATGAGTTTGTCACAATAACAATGTATATTGTCATACTGCCCAGCCCTATTATTGCATTTATTCTTTTATCCTACTTCGTGGGGCATAGACAACATAGAAAAAGCCTCTGTGAAATTTTGTACACTGCATCTTTAAGAGATTATAAGTGGATCCTAGAGAGTAATTTGAAAGCTTGAATATCATGGCTTTCAACAGCCAATCAAATGTCTGCGTGCATTTGACCTGTTTAACACTGAACAGTCATGTTGAAACTTGACTAGTATGTCTAAGGGGACTTGCTATCAACCTCTGAAATTTCAAAAGAACTGGGGGAGGGGGGATTTGGTTTTTGGCTTTCATGGTCTCCATTTCTGTCTCGAAGTCATTGAAGCCTTGACATTTCTGGCCTAATTGTCAAAAAAATCATTTAGACCAATCATCTCAATTTAAAACACTTGCATAGACTGAGGTTCCAGTGAGGCATGCAAAATTGGACCTAGTTTTGTCTCCAGGGGGCTCTACAGTGCACAAAGAGGTTAAAATCATTAAAAATCATATTGTCATCATTTTCTGCATGTAATAATGAGTGTGTAGTGATTTCAGCTGTTTATGCAGGAAAACTATGCAGTTACAACTCATGTCAGAATTTGAACTGTTTGTCAGGCATTTTGACTTGTTTAAATTCTACTGCTTACTATACCAAGGTCAAAAGTTAAAGTTGACAAACATTGAGTCATAATAAATACAGGTTTTCTTCAAAAATCTGTCTGCCTTTTATGTTCTGTCTGAGACAAAGCTGTATATTTACTTAGTTTTATAAACTTCTTTACTGATTTAAATTCCTTGTTCTTTTTGTTCTTGGCTACTTCGTAAATGAGGGTCACCCTTAATGTAATCAGAGCTTAAATGAAGGTTGATTGCTTATAATAGCCTTTAATGGTACGTGTCCACTGAATACGTGTAAATGTCTCCCTCCCCCTTTGCTGTGTCTTGTCTACAGTGCATGATTCCAATGAGTCTGCCAGAAAATGAATTTCAAATAAATTATGTTCTTATTCAGAGAGACTGCTCTTGTAAACTTGGTTCTAAATTAAATATTTCTGTAATTATCACAAACTAGTGTGTACTTACTGTCCCTAATTTAAAGCACCTAAGGGTGTGAGCATTCTCCAGTAAAGTGTTTTTCAGGTTGTAAAAATGTGCTCAAATTTACACGCATTCTGACAAGGGATAAATTGAACATGCAGATCTGTGAAAGGTTGTTGAAAGAATTTTTTTTAATAAACTTGACTGTCCTTTTTGCGTATGCTCATTTAACAATGTTTTGTCTCTACGCAACTTTGATAAGGGATATTTTGATTAGCTAGAAGATCTTGACATTAAAAGTTTTTTTGCTTTTTGTAGGGTTTTCCAGCAGAGTTTGCCATGTACCTGAATTACTGTCGTGGGCTGCGTTTTGAGGAAGCACCTGACTACATGTACCTGCGTCAGCTGTTCCGCATTCTCTTCAGGTACTTGAAACAGCACTGTCACTTGCACAGCATGGGCGAATTGACGTAGTTAACTACAGTCATGAAATGACAAAGCATCGACTTCAGTGTAAACACACCTAAAAGCATGCCGTTTTTTGTCTGGTGTGAAAGAATCACCCTGCAGTTAATGCCACCAAGGTCCATGATTTACACAGCGAGTGTCAGATATGTTGGTGGTTCTTCCACCACTCAGACAACTACAACAACATAAGAGAAATGAAAATGTCTGCTAGCTTGAATACTGTGATATGCTCTGACATGTATGTGGTAGGAGTGATTGTAGTAAGACGGTGTGATCCATCATTGATGTACCGAGCCAGTTAATGTTTGCGGTTCGCATTAAGCTTATGTTAGTAAGAAACTAAACAGTTAAGCACCTTTAACCAAATAGCCTTGCGCTTGTCATCAGATAGCAAAAAATAGTGTTCTTTTTAAATTATGAATATTACTAAAATCGCAGTTGGTGCATTTAAGAATGGGGAAAGTAGCTTTCTCCCACTATCCCATGACCCGTTTGTAAAATGTTTGTGTTTGGCCAGTGTTTGTCATGTTCTGACCATAAAGAATAGTTTAAAACCACATTTAACCGCCTGGTTTCTTCAAATTTCACTCAGCCTTAAAAATTGCAAGAAGCAATGATTTGACATTTATCGTGATGATAATCAATATCAACTGATATGAAAAGTTTTCGGCCAGCCCAAATTGCCATAGCTTTAACAAATCTCACTTTAACTGTCTGTAAACTTGTTTCTTGTTGAAATTTGCTTTATTTTGCTGTGTTAAATTGGCCTATTGGATACATTTAGTGTAGCCTAATTGTTATTAAAATTTTAGACAGAGCTTTGTTTAAATTGTTTAACACCTGTGATGTATTTACACTTTTAAAATCATTAAGACTTAATCTGTCTACATGAAGTCCTCATTTAATGGTTTACCAGGGAATGACGACATCTGTTTTATCATTGCGTTGTTGAACAAAATGCAGTTGAACTCTTAACTGGGAGAACCACAATTTTAAAGAAACTTCATCAACTTTGACCTTTTTGTTTTGATTAATGTTTTTTTGTTAGAAATAAAGAATAATTTATCAGTTACTAAAGAATGTTGTCACAGTGTTCTTGTTTTGTCCCCTAAGATCTTTCACTTGATTTTGCTTTATGGGGTGTGTGTGTGTGTTTATTTGTTTGTTTGGTTTTTTTTTTTGTTTTCTTTTTTTTGTTTTTTTTAAATTCTGCTCAATGTCACTGAATCTCTTCTAGGACTCTGAACCACCAGTATGACTACACATTTGACTGGACCATGCTGAAGCAGAAAGCAGCACAACAGGCGGCATCCTCAGGGGGACAGGGGCAACAGGCACAAACCCCCACAGGCAAGCAAACTGACAAACCCAAGGGTAACATGAAAGGTTAGTAGCAAACAGCCAAGTGACGTTTGAAGTGCAAAATATTAGACGCCAATTGCTTTCATTTCTTGTAAAAAGGAGTGAAAAATATTAGGACCTAAAGGGGAACAGTCATGTTTGAGTTTTTTTTATTTATTTTTTTAAACTACATATGCCTTGCAGTAGTATGCTGTGTTCCAAGTTATTATGCAAGTGATATCAGTAAGATTTAGTATTTAGGCTTTAGTTTTTCAAATAGTTTTATTTTTCATCTTTTTAGATAGCTGGTATCAATCTCAGACAGGTTTTTTTGTCAGGTGATCTTGATCAAAGGGAAACTTGGCTAGAGATTTGTTCCACATTGTTTAGCAAGTCACAGTTCTGCGTAATGGGGAGAAAGTGATCTTTCTGAAAACGAAAAGCATGAAATAACACAATTATTATTTCACAAAAAACTGAAGATCATCGAACTGTGAAAAGGTATGTGAGAGATTCAGAGCACAGGCTTATTATGGTCAGATAAAGGCTTATTAAACCTCTGTCTGACCAGGTATTTGAAGCTGCTGGTTTCTCTGGAGTCTCAAGACCCTCCCGATGCAGGATCCTCCACAGGCTGGCAGCTGTGTATAAAGCTATATTTCAGCCACACCTTAGCAAAGCTTACAAAGAGAAATGTTTGCTGTGGGCTCAAATACATGACAAATTTTCAAACAGTTTTATTCACTGATGAATGCCTCAAGGAAGTGGAGGAGTGATGATCTGGGACGGAATATTGGGAAGTGAGATGGTAGGTCCCTGAGGGTGTTAAAATGACCTCTGCAAGATATGTAGAGTTCCTAACCAACCATTTTCATGCAGTAAACCCTGTTGATTTGACTACTATGGGCATGAAAGGAAGAAAAGAAAAAAAAAATCATGGTTTAGCCACCGTCGTCCCCTGACCTCAGTCCTATTGAGAACCTGAGGAGCATCCTTAAAAGGAAGATCTAGTGGGTGTCAGTATGCCTCGATACAGCAGCTCTGGGAGGAAATAATGGCATCCTCAAATGAAATACAGGCAGAAACTATACATGGGCTTAAAAGTTAATTGGATGAGAGTTGTTAGTCATCTCAAAGAAGGACTCGTATATCAGTATGTAACTTGATCTGTAAATATATGATTTTAACATTTTTATTTTCTGAAAAATTTGTTTGAAATGATAGGATTGCTGCATTCTGCATAATAATTTGGAACGTATTTAGTGTTTTTTTTTCTTTTCTTTTCTTCACTTATAATAACGTCCAAATTGTGATATTGTTGAGGATTTAAAAAATCCTTAAACATATTGACTGTTTAGGAAAAACAAACAAAATGGCATGTGCATAATAATTTGGAACATGGTGTATTTAATCAAGCCTCTGTTTCTTGCACACTCAACAGCACAAGCCCATCAATTCCATCTAATTCACTCAGATGTTTTATTTTGTGCAAAACATGGTTCTGGGATAATAACACGAATCGGGCTAATGGTAGCTGAAAATCTGGTAGTTCTCAGCACTTTTAGTTAAATCGCAGGTGTAGCAGTGTTTGTGCAGAATAGCCACTCCCACGCTCAAATGAAACAGCACAAAAATAAATATATACTTTTGAAGATGTAGGAATAGCTTCTGGAATAAAACTATGCTGCAGTTGTTGTGTGTTTTTGCCTAGAAACAGGGCTAATGATCACAGGGCTAATTGACTGCGTGACTGGTCCCCTTTAAAAAATACATTTGGAGGAATCTTTTCCCCCACCCAAAGATTCATTAAATACAAAGGGGAAAAAGGGTTATAGTTGAAGGAGGTACCCCCCAAAAAAAATCAATTGGTCTGTCTTGCAGATGCAAAGACGTCCTTGGAAAATTTGACTACTAACTTTGTCAAAGTGTCTGTCTTCTCTGGGGACAAGGGTGGCTTCATTTTTCTCTCCCCCCCCCTCCCCCCTCCCCCCCTCCCCCTAAACGAATGGGTTTCATAACTTCATCTGTCCAGTCTCCCAAACACTGCCATGATCTTAAGTGTCACTATTTCCACCACACGTGGGTTAGTGGTAGTGACTTTGTGCACTAACCAATGTTAACTGTGTTTTTTCTCTAGCATTTTCTAGACACTAGCATTTTTGGTGGGGTCGACAGGGGAACTATAGAACTGTTTATGACTGTTGTGTAACTTTAAATGCAATCTCTAGTTTGTTAGTCATGAATGTCTTTGTTACAGCAGCAGTAAGCAATATATAGAGCAAGCTACATGGACATGGAGTCAAAGCAGGTTTTGCAGAAGTGAATTCTGTCTGTTTCCATTGGTGTCCAGCTGTCCTAGTTAGAGAGTTAGAAAAATATTTTGGAGAGATTTGAACAAGCATCATTATTCTTAATTTAGAGACACTGTGTGTGTGTGTGTGTGTATATATATATATATATATATATATATATATATATATATATATATATATATATATATATATATATATATATATATATATATATATACATACACACACACACAACACACTACTTGCTGTTACCCCGTAAAATTATTTTCATTGCGGAAATGGAGTACACGAACTGAACTGAAAATCATGTGAATGCAGGGTGCATTATAGCCGTCTCACCCTCATACTGCTACGTTATATCTTGTTTTGAGGGGAATGAGAGGTTTCCACTTTGTCATTGCATTTGTTAGTTTTTCAGTTGTTTTATTTATACTTTTCCCACAGCGTCAATGTTGCTGAACTTGCCACACTGTGAGTTTTGAATTTTAAAATTTTAAATGATACTTTGCACTCAACTTTGATCATTAAACAAATTCACCAAGGCAGTACCTGGAAATTACTTGTCTCATAATGAGGTTGTCTCATATCCTTGTGCAAGGGATGAAAATGGGCAACCTAGGCAGTTTTCCTTAATGTTGCACTGGTCAGCCCAAAAAAAAAAAAAATCTGGTCAATACAGTCTACAGGTGAGATGTAAAATGCAGCAGCATTTAAGGTGAAATGAAAAATGTAAATAAAAAGCAAACTTCCTCCAGTCTCATCCACTGGAGGTATGGAATCATGGAGTATCGATTTACAGCGACCGAGCAGCTGTGCTCTAGGATGTTTAGGCTGGAATTTGGGACGGCGGATGGGTTTGAGGAGTCAAATAAGAAAATGTGTTAACAGTATTTCTCAATCTCTTGTTTTTTGTCATAGCTCACCTACATGTCAGCATTAGCGCTTGGATTGACTAGTTGCTGAGCTTTGCTTGACACTTGATCAAGTTGTGGAGATTACAAAAACATTTTGACTGATTAGCTTAGATGCTGCCACTAAAGCAAAGCCCTCAGGTCTGATGGAGAGAGAAACTTAATAGGGGTAGGGCTGGGCGATAAAATGATAACGATAATTATCGCGATATAACTTTTCCTCAATAGAGTGATACGACATGTTCGATATAATACACCATTCGCACACTTCCACGTTCTAGCGAAAGCCTTCGTGGCGTTTTCTACTGCAAGGAAAGCGACACTACTCTGCTGTCGCCAGGAGAGGGCGCACTTCCGAGTTTTTCGACATGATTAGAGAGGGAGGGGACCACGAGTAAGATGAGTCTTTAGCAACGGCTGAAACGCAGAGTTATACATTCACAATCCTCACAACTACAGCGCTGTTGCAGCGCTCGGACAGTCATAATTTAGTATGAGTGCGTTCCCAAGCAACGAAAGTGAAAGAAAGAAGTGAGTTACAGAAGTGAGTAAATTACAGCCCTGATTTATACGAAAGTAAACTGAGGAAGCTGTGAGGCATTGGAGAGCAGGAGAGCGCTATCTTTCCAGGCTAGCTGTTTTTAGCAGCTGGCTAACTTGAAGCAGCGCACTGTCACTCACACAACACGGAGAATTGATGATACTGTAGATCAAACACGACACAAAAGCACCGCTTTCAGTTTAAACGTACCTAAAAGGAGGACTCTGTTTGTCTGGTGTTAGATATTTTGCGGTCCACCCCTTAAACTACTACGTTAGTATAGAGAAATCCAGTCGTCGCTAGCTGGTGTTTGAATACTGTTATGTCATTTGTAACGGGGTAGCTGAGCGCTCGTCACCAGCTAAAAATAATCTGTTTTCTTTCTTAAATTATGACTATTACAAAAATAGCCATGCTTTTCCAGCTGGCAAAGACACCAGACACTTTCTCCCACTCTCCCATGACAGATTTGTGAAATGTTCCATTGTTTGGCGACTGTTCGTCATGTTCTGAACATAAAGGATAGTTTAAAACACGATATCAAACGATATGAATTTTGTTTATCGTGATAACATTTTTGGCCATATCGCCCAGCTCTAGGTACAGGCATGTAGTGCTTAGAACCCTATTGCGTTTTAGCCTTTTTCTTCTTGAACTTCTGATCGTGATTCTCTGCTAGAAGGAATCATGCAGACCAAACTATAAGCTGTACAAACGTAAATCTTGACCAATAGGAAGTTGTCCCTCCTTTTTTCTGTTTCCTTGGCTCAAGACAAACTCATTTAAAATTTGGAGCCTTTAGCTCTGCCTGCTTTTTTTTGCATAATTGTGGAACTTTTTTACTTTTTACTTTTGTGAGTTCCCTTTTGGATCAGCGCGAAATGTGCTAAAAATCTGACTCAAGAATATTTTGTCCAAAAAAAATTTTAACCTAATAGCAGTATACAGTTCATTATGCTAGGGTGGCCTATCCATTTTGGCATATATGCATCATTAGAGGGTGCTGTAAATGCTAAGTAACTGTTTTGCACTGTCCGTACATCTGATGAAGCGGGAAGTTTGCAAGCAGTGTCTTTCGGACACAGAGTTCGTAAGGATGACTTGATGAATCGAAATTTGTGGCTGCCATCGGCCAATTAACTCTCAACAGTCCTCTGAAAAGCTTAATATTGACCAATCCTGAATGGTGAAACTTGAGTGTTGTATCTGTATATGCACTTTCTAATAACCAGTTAAGTTTCAGAAGATTTGGTCTCTAGGGGTGCTATTCGGCTAAATCAA